GTGATGCTAACACTGTTGATCTAGAAACCACAATTTGGGAATCATAGATCTCCTGTGACTACATTGACTTCTATGCACTTGAAATGTCCTCAGTAGCAAAATGCTATGAGACCACAAGCATCTGGTTGAAGCAACTTTCATATTAAAGGCTTTCATAAAAGAAACAAGAGAGAGAGGAAGATCTTATTAAATAATATTCATTAAGCTTAATACCTGATTTTCATTAAGCTACCTGATTCTCATTACTCCTTTGGCAGATGAGCAAATGCTAATTTCATAGATGCACTGATATGTTACTTTCCCCATATTATAATTTACATTCCTGGGGCTTTTTGTACTATTTCCATTATAGTGGCATGATTTAGAGTAGAAATTGTTAAAATGTCATAAACAATATTTGTACTTGAAATTGTTAAAGTACCACATTCAATATTTTAAGAGGGCTCAATAAATTTAAACCAAATTGATAATTATGGATTAAGTTCATAATATCTTTGTTGTGACTACATAAACAGTTCAATACAAACATTTTTTAAAAGAATTACAACTGGGGCGCCTGGGTGGCTCAGTTGGTTAAGCGACTGCCTTCGGCTCAGGTCATGATCCTGGAGTCCCGGGATCGAGTCCCGCATCAGGCTCCCTGCTCGGCAGGGAGTCTGCTTCTCCCTCTGACCCTCCCCACTCTCATGTGCTCTCTCTCATTCTCTCTCTCTCAAATAAATAAATAAAATCTTTAAAATAAAAAAAATAAAAAATAAAAGAATTACAACTACTCATAATAATATCATCAGGGAGCTATGAATTTGCTATTCATCTTTTTTAGTATTAGGTTCAATAGCTGGGCCAATATACCATGGAAAGACACTATATACATCAAGAGAATAACATATATGTAGGCTTTTTATGTTTGATGTTCCAATTTGTTTAAATACAAAAACCACCACCTTTTGCCTTCATTTTCTACAAAGGAATTTTTTTTTTTTTAAGTAGAAGCACCTCTTTCTATGCCAACAGCTTCCAAGTCACTATGGAATGGTAAGAACTACATCATTTAATGAATATTCATATCAAAGAGATATTTATAACATTTTTCATGTCACTGCTCCTTTACCCTTCCCCAACATACACTTTGAGAATTACAATGACTTCTTGAAATCCTGAAGGAACTACCTTCATTTCTTATACAAGGCTTTAAAATACATTTTTAAACAGACCTTCACATTAAAGAGGAAAAGAATTTGAAATAAGTATTTGTGGGAGGTAATCACATCAGCAAACTCAAGATAAAATAATACAGGAAAGAAAGTTGAGAATTAAAAGTGGTCTAAAAATTTGCTTAAGTAAGGCAAAGTAAGTGATAAATAACATCATATTAACACAAAAACATAAGCTCCGTGGAGGTAGAGATTTTTGCCTTTTTGTTTGTTGATATGTTCTCTGTTTCTCAAATATTTAATGCAGAGTAGAAGCCCAAAATATTTATTGAACAAATAAATAAATACATAAATGTTCATGACGCAAAAAATTAATCATGGTTCTCCCAGTCGTACAAAACACATCTTTGATCCCATGTGCACTCAGGACCAACAATCAGGAATGTGGGAAAGGTGCAGATTCCAGCACAATGCACTAGATTCTCAATGTAAAAGTGAAAGATACAAAATCTTGACGTTCAAATATCCACCATCTGGCATGAAAAAGCCAGATATGTAAGTGGCTGTGGTACAGTGGGATAAGTGAAAAAAAGAATTATATGTAAGTATTATCAGTCACAGACTGGTTGAAAAAGCTACAGATAAATGATAACGTTTGAGGATTATCTAAAAAGATGAGTGAGAAGATAAACCCAGAGCAAAGGTACAGACATGTAAAAATTCACAGTGCTTTTGGAGAACAGCAAGCTGTGGATTTCAAACTTTCAAACTATAACCTAGAGCAAGAAATACATATATAGTATACTTAACTGAAACCAGTGAGCATCAGAATAATACTCACCTTTACTCATCTTATGTATTTGATATTTTCTATTCTATTTCCTTTTTTTAATGTTGGTGAAGGTGTATTAAATCAATGTCAAGATTCATTTGTTTGAAAAACATTGGGTTTGAGCATCAAATGGATGTGGTGATAGACCACTGAAATGGAAATACAAAGAATGCTCTTCCAGCTGACCTCCAACTCTTCTCCCATCCAGGTGGTTTGCTGGAGCCACATTACTTACAGGAGGACTATGATCTAGGTCCCCTTCCTACTTAAAACAACTCAATGTGGTAGAAAAGATGAGTAAAGAAGTCCTTCTCTATATCAAGCCAATGTGCAAGAAGGGAAAGTGTTACAGGCCATTTCTTCTCTACTCTAGGCATATTTTGGACTTACCATTATTCTGTCTAGAAGGGTTAAGAGTGTTTGAAAATAAAACAACTCTCACATCTGGGCACATCCTAAATTCAATCTATATCTGGATTTATCTCAGAATTTACTAGAGTCAAATTGTTATACTGAACTACAAAAAACAAAACTCTTCTCCCTTCCCTATGAATAGCTATTTAACTCTGTCCACAACAGTCTTCACTGAAGACTGTTTACTGAGCACTCTATGTGCCCCAGGATCTGTTCTAGCGCTAGGAACTACAATAGTGAGAAAACAAAAGTCCAAGCCCCTTAGAGTTTATATTTTACAAAAACAAACAAAAACAAATATGCAAGTAAACTAAATACATACGAAGTGTAAAAGCTATGAAAGAAATAAACAGTAATAGGAAATAATATTTAAGGTAGCCAAGGAGGGCCTTTCTCAGAAGGTAATATTTACGTTGAGACTTGATGGATGAGAGGAAGCCACTGAAGTCAAGTACTAAGGAGAAAAACAATGTCCCGGGTCCTAGAAGAGCATAAGTGAAGACCTGAGCCAGGAAAGAGGTTGTTGTTAAAGGCCAATATAGGTTGAGCCCAATGATTTGGGAAGGGCAGCATGAGATGAGATGGGAAGTTATTTGAAAATACTGGATTGTTTCAGTAACTAGAATGGGAAGTTACTGGAGAATGACATGGTCTAATTTGGGTTTTTTAAATCTCATTCTTATAGCTATGTGGACAACAGATTAGATAGGGGTATGATTAGAAGTTGAGCCATCTCTTTAGGAGACTGATTTTAGGCAAGCAAAGATGGAAGATTAGAGTAGGGTGTTGGCAGTGGAGAAGGAGAAAAGAAGATGGACTCAAGATATATTTTGGAGGTAGAACCAACAAAACTTATATTCAGAATGGTCTTAAAAGAGACCATAAGTAAGTGAATTGAAAATTGGTTGGAGGAGTGAGTGCATTTAAAAAGGGAAGGAAAAGATTTTGAGGAAGGAAAGAATGGGAGAAGTATGAATTAAGTAACAGCCTAGAAGTAATGTATTAAAGTGGTCACATTTACAACTCTAATCCCATGGCTTGCTCTGTGCCTCTATTTTCTTAAAACAAGATATCAAATTGGGCAGAAAGAGAGAGAAACTTCTTTAAGGACTTTTAGCCTTAAATGGTTGAGCCCGGGCCACTGAAAAAAAGATAATTTACCCAATGAAAATAATGAAGCAAGATTTAACTAAGATCATTTTAGTGAGAAACAGTAGTTCTAGCTGCACATTCAAATTCCCCGGGGGAGCTTTTAAAACTATATGCCCAGGCTCCATGAAGTGGTTCTGATTTAATTAGTTTGAGGTGAGACATAAGCATGGGTATTTTTTAAAAGCTGCTCTACTGAGGAGCAAGAATTGAGAGCCCTAAGTTAGAAGTACAGCAGAGGATGCCAGGTCAATAAACCTATTCCATTAAATGAAGGATTAATAGAGAGAATGGGGTGAAGGAACTTTTTCCCCCAGAGAAGAAATACAGGCCCATTGGCTAAACAGGCATAGTTCAAGACTACAAGAAAATAAAAGTCAATTTTCTTCAATGTCATTTTTTGGGGGCTGGGAGAAAATTTTATTCTCACAGTGTTAGGAACACAGACACTCATATAGACATCACACATATTCCAAAGTATATTTTATTTCTATAATGAACAACACAGAGGGAAGAAATTAACACCTGACAGTTGACTGAAAGAAAAACAGAAGAGGAAGAGTTCCTTCCAATCTGGCCCAGACAAACAATCACACAGGAAAAAAAGAGTTGCTGTGGAAAAGTAATCACAAGGGAGGAAGGATTCAGTTACTTCTCAAGTTAAAAATCATAACTGGTTACCAGAATACAACTGGCAATGAGTTGCACTGTATCACATCACCCTTGCTTTTCAACTGTTCTTTAGTCCGGACCCTTCCAAGATTCACCTCTTGAAAGAGCCACTGAATTACCATAGCAGGACTAAGAGCCAAGTATTCTCCTGAAATAGAGACCAGAAACATAATTTGACTGCAATGAAGATTCCTCGTTGCTGGTGTGGGCGTGGGTAATTGAAGGCAAGAGTATTCACATAATTTGTCCCCATCTTTCAGTTAACTTGCGGTCTCACTGGAATCAGAACCAAAGTTTTACACCGTCAGGGGTTTTCTTTGCTGTATTTACACCTTCTTTGCACCCTAACTCCACGGAAACAGAAAAGGAAAACGTGCAGTGCGATTTCTAAATCTCCATCTGGAGAGCTTTAAGAGCAGTAACGGTCCAGGCGAGGTGGCAGTGTGTGACCGGCGTCGCCCAGACTAATTCGGTGTAATAACATCAGGGAGTGGAGAAGACACGACCAGCATGGGTTTTTGGTCTTGCGGTCGAGTGGACTTCCGGAAGGGAGTGAAAGCAAAAGAGAATTGAGCTAAGGGAAAGAGGAGGAATGTACAGGGCCATACTATTTGGGTGTTGCGAGTGGGAAAGGGATACCAGGACCTCAGAGGAGCAAAGAGTTGAGTGGAGCTCTGATGCTTCCGGCAGGCAGCCGCCCGGCGACCCCCCAGGAAGTGGGAGGTGCGAGCGGACACTACAAGTCCCAGAAGCCCCCGCCTCCCGGAGCCCGCGCGGAGCCGCGCAACGCCCGCCGGGAGTCGGTCGGAGCCGCCAAGATGTCGCAGCCCAAGAGAAGAAAGCTTGAGTCGGGGGGTGGCGGCGAAGGAGGGGAGGGAACTGAAGAGGAAGATGGCGGAGAGCAGGAGGCGGCCCTGCCGCGACCCCGGAGGGCTAGGCGGGAGCGGGACCAGCTATACTATGACTGCTACTCAGACATATCGGTCCACGAGGAGATGATTGCGGACCGTGTCCGGACCGATGCCTACCGCCTGGGCATCCTGCGGAACTGGGCAGGACTACGGGGCAAGACTGTGCTGGACGTGGGCGCGGGCACCGGCATTCTTAGCATCTTCTGTGTGCAGGCCGGGGCCCGGCGCGTGTACGCGGTGGAGGCCAGCGCCATTTGGCAGCAGGCCCGGGAGGTGGTGCGGCTCAACGGGCTGGAGGATCGGGTGCACGTCCTGCCGGGCCCGGTGGAGACGGTGGAGTTGCCGGAGCAGGTGGATGCCATCGTGAGCGAGTGGATGGGCTACGGACTCCTGCACGAGTCTATGCTGAGCTCTGTGCTCTACGCGCGGACCAAGTGGCTGAAGGAGGGCGGTCTTCTCCTGCCGGCTTCCGCCGAGCTCTTCGTGGCGCCCATCAGCGACCAGATGCTGGAGTTGCGCCTGGGCTTCTGGAGCCAGGTGAAGCAGCTCTACGGGGTGGACATGAGCTGTCTGGAGAGCTTCGCCACGCGCTGCCTTATGGGCCACTCGGAGATCGTGGTGCAGGGTTTGTCCGGGGAGGACGTACTGGCCCGGCCGCAGTGCTTTGCTCAGCTGGAGCTGGCCCGCACCGGCCTGGAGCAGGAACTGGAGGCTGGGGTGGGCGGGCGCTTCCGCTTCAGTTGCTACGGCTCAGCGCCCATGCACGGCTTTGCCATCTGGTTCCAGGTGACCTTCCCCGGAGGGGACTCGGAGAAACCGCTGGTGCTGTCCACCTCGCCTTTTCACCCCGTCACGCACTGGAAGCAGGCACTCCTCTACCTGAACGAGCCTGTGCAAGTGGAACAAGATACGGACATTTCCGGAGAGATCACGCTGCTGCCCTCCCGGGATAACCACCGTCTCCTGCGCGTGCTACTGCGCTACAAAGTAGGCGACCAGGAGGAAAAGACCAAAGACTTTGCCATGGAGGACTGAGCGTTGCCTTTTCTCCCAGCTACCTCCCGAGGCGCCCAGACCTGCGTGGTAGAGGCGGCGGGGGGTCGGAGGAGAAAGGGAGATCCCGCGTGCAAGTAGGGGGCAATATCTTCTGTCTCCCTTTTCCCTCGTGGCTCCTGGGGAGGGAGAGTGACTTCAGTCTCCCTTCGAGGAGATTCCTCTGGCGAAATTTATTTAAAAAGTGAATCCCGATACCCCCAACGATGGAAACAACTTGTTTATTAATGGGCTTTTTTAAGTCTCAAAAGCATGTGGTACCAAGCACTTGTATTTCTATTTCTTTTGTTTCACGGGAAGAAAGCAAACACACGGGAGAAAATACCAGTTTATGAAGGCTCATGCACTTCCCTGACACCTCACATCTAAATCTGAAGCCAGGGAGAAGGGTTAAGGGGTTTAGTAGATTCCATAAATTTCCAGTATGACTTAAATATCTCTCTCAAGAGCCATATTCTGTCATTCTCTAAATTCCCTCCTTTCCTAGGTGCCTCTAGGCTTCAGTACTTCTTCCTCATTGTTTTTTTTAAATAAACTTTGCTTCTGGTAATGAGAGGGAGAAGAGTGAGGAAGGAGTTTGAATAACCCTGTTCTTACACTTACGACTTCCATAGGGTGCTAAAGTTGAACACATTTCTCCACACATCTCCACAAATATATAATTGTGCAGCATACCCCAAAAATCTAGAAGGTACATTTAGGAGAAAAAGATCTGAAAGACAGTGAAGTGGTAGTATGGTTTGTTTTTTTGTTTTTTTTTTTTTTATTCTTTATTATTAAGATTTAACCAAGAAATTGTTTCATGTATGTTACATAATAGAGTTTTATGTGATTTTTATTCAACCAGCTGATAGAAGGTTTTCTGAACCTAACCCAAGGGTTTGTTCATTATATTGGGTAAATTGTTTAGGCTCTCTAAATTAAGTATTTTCCCAGCTAGAGAAGTGCACTCATTTTAACTCTCATTTAAAGAGATCAGGTTATCTGGCCTACTTACATTAAGTGAAATTTCCTTTTTTAGCGTTGTTGGGTTTTTTTTTCTTCTTTTTAGCTCAGCCAAATGTTAAAGTTGTGAATTTCAGAAAATCATTTGTAATGAAGTGTGAGTCATGTTATCAAATTTATTTTACGGATGTTTCCCTCCTTAACCCTGTGGCAAATAAAACATTGGCATTCTATTTTTATAGATGAAGTAAGAAGTCTTGTGTACTGTGACTTATAGTGCTTTTGCCTTTTTAATATTGTCAGTTCTTAAGAAAAGTGTTACAACCCCTTCAGGATATAGCTTCAGGGTAATTTATGCTTAATGTATGTTTTTTTCTTCATACTGGTAGCTTTTGTATGCTAATAGAGAGCAGGTGTGAAAAAGTGGTCTTTGAAGTGATCAACATAGTTTTGTTTATTGTAACTGAGTTTTCTCCTTTATTCATCGCATATTAAAGTACCAAAGTATTATAACCAATTTGCTAAAATTTGATGTTAACACATGAGATCTTCCATTACGAAGGGAAACATACAAAATCAATGACTTTACAAGATCCAAGCAATAACAACGATAGTTGTCACCATTTTGATAGTTAACAGTCTATGTAAATGATGCAGTCATAGCAAGGTAGGCCTGATTTAAGCTAGAGGTATAAAATAGGTCCTTTTTTTTAGGGTCAGCTATATATTATAAGATGAACATTTATTTAGAATTTTAGTGTATGATTTTGGGTAGATTTCTGATGTTATTTAACTTCCTGAAAGAATCCCTTTGCTGTATAAGCAGACAAAAGCATTCCCCTGAATTCCATTTTTTTTTTAAATATATATCTTTTATAAATATGCCTGTATTACAGAGTTCTTGTCACCAGTATAAGCATGCAAAGAGAGCCCAGTTAAAACTTAAACTGTAGAAGCAAAAAGTATTTCATATTTAGGCAAGTAAGCTCTAATATTCTTGTTACTGTTTCCCAAAAGAAAAATGAATTATAAAAATATAGCTGCTAAAGCAATTAGTCAAGTGGCAGCATAGCATATGGCTAAAAGCTAGGACTTGAGCCAGACAGATCCTGCTGGAACCTAGGCTCCCCACTATAACCGTGTGACCTTGGGCAAAATACTTAACCTCTGTTTTTCTCCAGGGCTCTCATGCAAACAGTAGAACAATCATATGTGATACATGTAATGCAGGGAATGTAGTTACTACATGTAGTTAATACATGCGAGCACATAGTACCTGGTACAAAATAAAATCTCAGTGATTCCTAGCTGTTGTAATTATAGAAAACTACTATGCAAACCTGCAGCATTTGGCCACTCCTCTACAGAATAAATATTCAACATTTTGATTTTCTTACAGGTTTGTTTGGCAGTATCAGCGTGGCTGTGTATGACGGACAGTGTGTGACTGGACACCAGATGATCCAAGCCCTTTGGAGTGACAACACTTCCAGAAGGATGAGAGCGTGACATGCTCCAATATCCAGGCACTGTGCAGTCTCTGTGTGAGCTGGATTGCCTAGGGTCATTTGGACCACAGGAATAACTGTCAGCCCTAGGGAGGGAAAACATGATGAAGTTCTACCTGCTTTCTTCAGACAGCTTACATTTATTTAGCCCTGTGAAACTTTCCAAATATTTATGTTAATTCACTGGACCAATGGACATTTTATTGAGTATACCAGATAACAGTCATTGTGATAAGCACTTAGGTATACAAACCAATAAAACATAGTTTTGCTTCCAAGTAGGTATGTTCATAGGATAAACCAAAAAGGAAAATACGTCAACGATAATGGGCTACTTGGGATGCTGTAGGTGTTAGGGAGGGCAGATGATTACCTTCACTTTATATACTAGGAAAAAGACACAGATATTGAAGGATTTCCCTAAGGTTATATAACTAATTCTTAACAGTTGAACACAAGTATCTTAATTCCTATCCCCAAACAACTTCTTAGTTTAAAAAAGTTCCATTGGAGATCTATCTTGTAGACCTGAAAGAGCCACCTTCAGTATATAGTATCTCAAGGTTGACATTATTAGGTATTCATAAAATATACCATGTACCCGTTTCCCTAACAGGTCTAAGTGTGGCATTCCTTCTGAGGCCCCCAAGAAACAATGCTCACTGCAGTAGCAAAGAAAAGTCGAGCTCTGACTATAGGTACTGGCATCCAATGAAATAAGTGTTCACTCATTTAATGATTTAATAAACACCAACCATCTAACAATTAAGTTCTATGATAAATAAGCAAATGCTACCCTCAACTTGGATACAGTAGGGGAATAAAATTACCTACATCAGTAGTTTGCACACATTCTTTAACCTGGAAAGACATCATCCAACTAAATCTCACCTCTGCTGGAGCAAAGATGAGAAGCCAGCCCTTTTGTCGGCTCTAACCTTAAAATTCCTCTCAAGTGCAAAAGTGTTACTTGTCATCACATAGATTAAGAGATCCTCAGAGAAAAATGTGATGGTAAGGAGGACAATGATTAATGAGACTATTTCTCAAAATTATTATATATGCTTGTAGGATAAGACATTTGAAACAAAAAATCTGGACCTTACTAAAGCCAAAATTTTAATAAAAAGACATGACGAGTAACATTGGAATTGTGCTTCTTTGGGAGCTTTGATGATAACAATCATCGTTATTTCTAGTAATAACTTGGAATAAAGACTGATGAAGATTTCAGTTGATCAAGTAGCTACCTTTCTAACTCTTAAAAACAATCACTTATATGGGGTGCCTGGGTGGCTTAGTAGGTTAAGCATCTGCCCTCAGCTCAGGTCATGACCCCGGGGTCCTGGGATCGAGAGTCCCACATTGGGCTCCCTGCTCCTCCCTGCTCCTGGAGGAGTCTGCTTCTCCCTCTCCCTCTGCCCCTCCTCCTGCTTGTGCTCTCTTTCTCTCTCAAATATATAAAATCTTTTTTTAAAAAAATTAAAAATAAAATAAAAATCAGTTATAACAGACATTTTAGAACACAGAGAGCTGTAAGGAAAGAAAACATTCCTCCTTTCTCCAGGCTGCCCCCTGCACAAAAAGGAAGGTGGGATGGAAGTAAATCCTCCCCATACTTTTTAAAGTGCTTAACAGGCGTTCTTGCAATCATATGATGTACATATTTGTGAAAATCACATCACATTCTGCAAAATTGTGCACTAAAAGTAACTTAGAGAAAATTGGTTGGGTGGACAATCAAAACTTTGTAACCAGGAGTACTAAGAATACCAATAAAAATAACAGCAGTTAAAAAAAGATGTTAATCCTAATAACACTGCAGTAATAAGACAGCCTGATGGAAGAGCAAAAAGAAGAGTTCCTGAGACAAAGCAAAATGTACAAAAATGGAGTGGAGGTTTAATAAACATTTCAAGACCTAAAGCATGTGGCCAAACCATGCCAAGAGGAAGAACATAGGGTGGGATACATTCCTTTTTGACTAGTTGTGTTCAAGTGTGTCAGTGTACTTTCTGTTCAATGGTTGTTGCCTGGTAGTATGAATAAACCAACCAATATCCACACTATGTTCTGACATTGTTCTTCTACTTATCAATATCATTTGAGTTTATTCATTTACAGAAACATGCATGGCAGCAGAACATTCTGTCCTTTGTTCAACTTCCAGAAATTAAAGGAATTCAAAGCTCCATTGGGTTTACAGATCTTTTTCTTTTTAATGCAAATTTTCTTAAAAGGAGAATGGAGTGGAGATGGGGAGGTTTACAGGTGGCCATAACCATCCTTCAGTATGAATCTATTTATTGTATTATTTTGGTCACCAGAAAAGATCAACAGGAAAAGGGAATAGAAATCCTGATGTGTGTACAGTGAAAGGAAAATAATTGAGTGTTCAATTATTGATGGTTGGATAATGGGATTGGGAACAGGGGGTGTTTCTCCAGAGTCCGGGGGCAACATAAAAATATCTTGGTGTCAAAGAGACATGAAGTTAGTGAGAGAAAACATTAAGTGAAGATTAAGATCCCCATGCATACATTTTACCCACATAACCATATCCTTAAGATAAAACTTTTTCTGAAGTAATGGGCTCAGAACATAACTAAGAGTATTTTGATTGGCTACAAACTATTGCTTATTTTGATATTTGTCCTTAACCTCTCATTTCAGCTTAATTTCTAAACCGATTCAAGGACTGTCCTATTTAAGAACTCCTTAATCCTGTCAAATTTGTGAACAAAGCCTCCAACCTCCATTATCTCAAGCTATATGCAGTTTAGTAATGGGTGGTATGGAATGGGATGATATTAGATTTTTAAAAACAAACAAACAAACAAAAAACCAAACAAACCCAAAAACAAAAAACTCTTGAAGTTTTGCTCTTGGTAAAATTATCATATTTAAGAACAAAGTGTAGAATTCTAACTTTAACCAACTGAGCCACCCAGGTGCCCTAGTTGTTAGGGAGATATCATTTTTCCTTTTTTTTTTTTTTGATTCATTATCTGATTTATTTTATACCAGATGATAATGCATGCATAGAGACATACAGTGAAAATAGCATATGCTGAAACTTTATACCAAATAATATTCAAATACACCAGCTACTATTTCTCAGCATGTAGAATGCTTTTATGCAATAATGGTATATTAATCAAACTGTGCAAAGTCCCATTAAAATCAATGATGTATTAACTTTGTTTACCTCACATCAGTTATACATAATAAGATAATGTTCTTCCATCCTAAGAAAAGTCCATATCCATTATAAATTTTCATTTAAAGGAAACCCCTCCTTTTATTAGACATGCCTCTGCATACATAGAGATAGTCCCAATACTTATATAAAGCATCCACATTAATTTTTATATCATTATTGAGTGCCTAATGTTCTATATGCATTTTAAGTACATTATCTTATTTACTCTTTGAAGGAGCTCTATGAAGTAATTCTATTATCAACCCCATCATACAGATGAGAAAACAAAGGCATGGAGTTTGGTAAATTGCCCAAGACCACGTGGAGAGTAAGTGACAGAGCTTAGGACTCATCTCCTGAAATCTGAGCATCTAATCTAGTACACTATCCTATCTATGATGCCTGGGCTCTCAGGAGTTAAGGTTTCATCTATAGTCGTTTAAAATAGGTGGGTCATTGTCTTATGCCGGGATCCCCATAAGCAGACCTTGAGACAAGGATACATATAAAAGTGTTTATCAAGAAGAGTTCCCAGAAAATGCCAGAAGGGCAGTTGGGAAGCAAAATTAGGAAGGGAAGGAGATGAGACTAGGGTGTGATAGTAAACCAGATCCTAAGAAAGGGAACTTTGGCTCAGTCCTTCAGAGATGCTCTGGAGACAGCACAAATCACATCTCAGAATGTCCCCAGTTAGAGAACAAGGTAGCTGGAACATTCATACCTTCTCACCCATCAGACATCGGTTAATGCCTGTCCCTGGGGAGACGTAAATTTCTAGGCACTTCCCAGCTCTCCTGGGTGGGCATGGCAGTTTTCACAGTCTAAGGACAGTCCCCCAGCTAAGGATTACCAGTGAAGAAAGTTGAAAGTACGGGGAGAGCAGATATACAAGAAAAAAAGGTTGAGGGCTGCAAAGTGACACATGGGGAATAAATGGAGCACTGGTAGGATATGGCTACTATCATAATTATCCTTTCTGAGATTCCTTTACATTCTAAGTTGTTAAATAGTTATGGACACTTTGCTTATGTCCCTCTTTCACTATTCTTTTATTTTTTTTTTAACTTTTTTTTTCTTAAGATTTTATTTATTTATTTGCGAGAGAGAGAATGAGAGACAGAGAGCATGAGAGGGAGGAGGGTCAGAGGGAGAAGCAGACTCCGTGCTGAGCAGGGAGCCCAATGTGGGACTCGATCCCGTGACTCCAGGATCACAACCTGAGCCGAAGGCAGTTGCTTAACCAACTGAGCCACCCAGGCACCCTCACTATTCTTTTAAAAGCTGCATGAATAAAGTATAAATGTGTAGAAGGAAAAAGTTAATTTCCTATTCCCCACAGTTTAGAATGTATCTTTCTATTATGTCTTCTTATATACCCATTTATGTAGGTTTTTCTTAATAAATATGTAGACATATTATACCTGTTACTCTGAAAACTATTTTGGGGGGATTAAAATACATATACTAAATGTCCCATGAAGTCAATGTATGTGTCTATAACTTATTCTTATTAATAGCAATATGAAAACGTATGGTATGCGTAATCCATAATTTATCCAACCAATTCTCTATTGATAGACAGTGGTTTGCAATTCTTGGCTGCCACAAATTTTACTTACCTTTCTCTTTTTCTATTCTCTTTCTAGGTAAGCTCAGCTCATCCATTCCCATTACTATAAATAGTATACCATCCATATGCTGATGATTCCCAAATTTATATTGTTATCCCTGACATCTCTCCTGCATTTCAGACTCATATGTACAACTGCTTAATTGTCATCTACACTTGGACATGATAGGCATCTCAAACCTAACATAACCAAACTGGTTTATATAAATAATGTTATGTATATAAATATATACATAATTTTACTATATATGTATGTATATACCAGTTTTGCTTGTTTTTTCAAAACCAGTATATATTTATTACATATATTTTTTAAATAGCCAGAACCTCAACCCTCTACCCAACTCTATCTTGAGTCAAGAGTTAATAAGCTTCTTGAAGACTTGACAATAGCACAAATCATTACATCAGATTATGATCATGGGTCTATATTGATTGCTTGTTTCGTGAGGCTACTATGTTTGATATTGGCATATCAAGAAGTATAGCAGAAAGTCCTGGGCTGAGTCTTAAGTGGAGAGCAAGCATCTCAATTTTTCAAAGGTAACGAGAATTATAACACACCATATGTTCAGTGCCAAATGAATCACGCAGACAAGTATGATTATAAGAGTTTGGTCATTGCAAGATGGGGAAATCAGAGCTTCTCATTGAAAATGGAGGAATGGAACTGGAGCTTTCAGATTCTCAGGCATGTCAAGATTCCAGCTTATGTACTCTCCACTTGGAACACCTTTCCTTAGACCATATGTTTCACTCCTTCTCTCTCTTCTTTCAGTTCTCTGCTTACATGTCACCTCAGAGTGACATTTCCTTGACTACCATAATGAAAATAGACCTCTTCTCCACCACAGATACCATTTTCCCCCTTGTTATCGGAAATTCAGTTATTTACTTGTTTAGTGTCTTTCTCATAAGATTTGTGAGAATAGGAATCTTGTCCCCGTCATTCATCACTATCTATCCATTGCCTAAGCCATTATCTGGCACAAATTAGGTATTCAATAAATAATTGCTAAGTAAGTGGGCCTTGTAAACCAAATGGAACTTCTATAAGAGGACAGAGTAGGCATTCTAGGCAAGGAAAATGGTTTGAAAAACAAGTGCTTAGTGTTTTTCAATTACGGTCTATAGATGGAAATTGCAGTGATATCAGGCATGCTGAAAATATCACAGATGGACAGTGCAAATGATTGGGCTTGCCAACACTAGAAAAATCTCTAGTGAGTTTATAGCCAGTGAGCCTGGGGGGTCTACCAATATTCCCTGAGCACACAGAATAAATCTTGTCAAAGAGGACTGGGTTGGATCTTTAGAAATAAAATTTTGAAAGGCATAAGAAAAATAAAAGTATTGATAAGACTTTCAAAATGATTCCTTTTTTGGGATTCCCATGAACAAAAGAGAAAGACCAAAAACTACGACAAAGGATAAAAATGAAACCAAGGTATAATTTATTAAGGTCGATGAAATCTTTTTTTTCAAAGTTATATTTTGACAACCAGTTTATTCAGATTTTTCCCCAGTTACTCTTCAGCAAGTAGATATCAGTCTTCTCTTCCCCACGAGGCCTGAATGGATGAGGTCCCACAGAATTTCCCAAAAGCCACTGAAGGAATCACAGACCTATGTGTTCTTCATTCATTATCAGCCTCAGTGCTTAATTCATCTTTAAATGATATGGACAAACACATCCTATGGACCTTATTTCTGCACACATACAAGTTTCCTTCAATCAGATTATAACCAAGAATGAAATTCTCCAAACAAAATGGGACAAATAGGGTGCCTGGGTGGCTCAGTCAGTTAAATGTCTACCTTTGGCTCAGTTCACGATCACAGGGTCCTGGGATAGAGTCCCATATTGGGCTCCCTGCTCAGCGGGGAGCCTGTTTCTCCCTCTCCCTCTGCCTGCCACTCCCCCTGTTTGTGAGCTTTCTCTCTCTCAAAAAGAAATAAATAAAATCTTTTGAAAAATGGGACAAATATTTTATACTTATTGAGTCATTTGGGTTATGTTTACAATGCCATTTTAAAAAGTATATTGACATGGGGCACCTGAGTGGCTCAGTTGGTTAAGCGTCCTACTCTTGATTTCAGCCCAGGTCATGATCTTAGGGTCCTGAGATCAAGCCCCAGTTTGGGCTCTGTGCTGTGTGTGGAGCCTGCTTAAGATTCTCTCTCTCCTTCTCCCCTCTCCCTTTGCCCCTATCCCTTCACAGGTTTGCTCTCTCTCTCTTAAAAAAAAAAAAAAAAAAAAAAAAAAAAATATATATATATATATATATGTATAGAGAGAGAGAGAGAGACTATATAGACACATTTTAAATATGGGCAATT